ATGCGCAGTGGGCACCCGGCTGTGAAGCCGCAAGCTGTCACAGCCGGGTGCCCACACTGAAGATGCCGACGCCAAGGAGACAGCATGGTCGGTCAACCCAGCCGGTGTGAGGATACTGTGGGATTGTGGGACAGGTGAGTGTTCATTTTTTGAAAGTCAGCAGCTACAACTTTTGTAGCTGCCGGACTTTTATTTTTTTTTAATTCTGACTGGACTGCCGCTTTAAGCGCCCCTTCAGCAGTGGCAGAATCGGTTTGCCTTCAGGCTCTCTCTCTCTCTCTCTCTCTCTCTAATTGAAACCTCTGAAAACTGGCAGGGGGAGTAATCAGACCTCTGGCTCAAACAACCATCTGTGTTTGTTTTAGCTTGAGCTACTGAGCTAATGTAACAGATTTTATTTTCAACAGAATTGCTAAGAAAAGATTGTGAAAAGGAGCCACAAGTTACTGGCTGTATACATAAGATTTCATATTTACCCAACTAAAATAACATATTTTTTAAAATATTTTTAGACCTGAGTATACATATATATATATATATATATATATATATATATATATATATATATACACAGGGCTTTTTTTCATACACACACACACACACACAAACACACACACTTTACAGTACATAAATGTAGCAGATGACAGTCCAGTTTGGAAATTCCTTCAAAACCAACACCTGATTGTTATTATAGGTCCTTTCACACATAGCAAGAAAAACCGTGCTGCTGTCCTTTATATAGAGAGAGCAGAGGGCTATTTAACCTAAATCCCCACTGATAATGTGATTTCCAAGTGTGATCATTGTTTGCTGTGGATGTCCCCGCTCGTTTGTCCCAGAGTACATTGGCTGATGTTCAATCCAAAAAAGCCGCGTCCGGCAGCTTTCGCTGATTTCCATTTCCTCTGTGTGACACTAAGAAAGCTTGGCTGGTGTTATTATTATTATTATTATTATACAGGATTTACCGCCGCATTCCAACAGTTTGCTCAGCACTTTATAATATAACAGGAGACAATACAGCAACAATACAGTTTTACAATACAAGAGGGATAGGAGGGCCTGATCCTGGGAGCTTACAATCTAGGAGGGAGCGGCTAGTGGTACAAAAAGGTAGTAACTGTGGGGGATGGACTGGTAGGAGGAGTAGAAGATTCCATTATTAGCTGAGTTTAGGATAGGCTTCCCTGAAGAGAGGTTTTCAGAGATCGCCTAAAAGTGAGCAGAGTAGGTGATAGTCTGATAGATTGGGGTAGAGAGCAGGAGGTCGTACGAGGAGCAGAGAGTACAGTTTGGGTGATATTTGCAGACAAGATTGGTGATGTAATTGGGGGCAGAGTTATAAATGGCTTTATGTTATTGTTAATGTTTTGGATTTTATCCATTGGGCCAGTGGAGGGATTGGCAGAGAGGGGTGGAGGACACTGAATGGAGGCCAGTGGAGGGATCGGCAGAGAGGGGTGGAGGACACTGAGTGGAGGCCAGTGGAGGGATCGGCAGAGAGGGAGCAGTGGAGGACACTGAATGGAGGCCAGTGGAGGGATCGGCAGAGAGGGGTGGAGGACACTGAGTGGAGACCAGTGGAGGGATTTGGGCAGAGAGGGGTGGAGGACACTGAGTGGAGACCAGTGGAGGGATTGGCAGAGAGGGGTGGAGGACACTGAGTGGAGACCAGTGGAGGGATTGGCAGAGAGGGATGGAGGACACTGAGTGAAGACCAGTGGAGGGATTGGCAGAGAGGGGTGGAGGACACTGAGTGGAGACCAGTGGAGGGATTGGCAGAGAGGGATGGAGGACACTGAGTGGAGACCAGTGGAGGGATGGGCAGAGAGGGATGGAGGACACTGAGTGGAGACCAGTGGAGGGATTGGCAGAGAGGGATGGAGGACACTGGGTGGAGACACATGGAGGGATTGGCAGAGAGGGTGGAGGACACTGGGTGGAGACCAGTGGAGGGATTTGGCAGAGAGGGATGGAGGACACTGAGTGGAGACCAGAGGGATGGAGGGATTGGCAGAGAGGGATGGAGGACACTGAGTGGAGACCAGTGGAGGGATTGGTAGAGAGGGATGGAGGACACTGAGTGGAGGCCAGTGGAGGGATTGGCAGAGAGAGATGGCAGATATGGAACGGTTAGTAAGGTGGATGAGTCTGGCAGCAGCATTCATGATAGACCGAAGAGGGGATAGCCTGCGATGAGGTCGGCCAATGAGGGAGTTACAATAGTAAAGGCGAGAGATAACAAGGGAGTGAATAAGTTGCTTAGTGGTTTCCGAGGTTAGGAACGGGCGTATCTTGGAGATGCTGCGGAGGTGAAGTCTACAAGATTTGGACAGCGATTGGATTTGGGGCTGAAAGGACAGATGGGAGTCTAAGATTGTAGTCTCATTCAAAGAATGCTGTGAATGAGTGCCATGACTGGGTAGGCGGAGCCTTACACAGCTATGTTTTTTTTAAAAATTTGACAGCTGGAGGGGGTGATCCTACGTTAGCTGTCAAAACGGAGATCGGAGGGGGGGGGGGGGGGGGGGGGCGATCAGATCGTAACATGAATATGGGTGTAACATGTAACATGTTGCAAAAGGTGAACTTTTCCTCTAACCACTTCAATACCAGGCACTTTTTTTTTTTTTTTTTTTTTTTTTAAGAGATGCACTTTATGCACATAGATTTATGTGATATTTACACAAACGTCATCCCTGTGAGCTGGCATATGTGGAAATGTGGTTATTTTAATTGCCATTTTTTTTTTGTTTTTTTGCTGGAATTATTAATGTATAAATAATTCAGTATCATTGCTACATCCTGATTTTGAAAACAGAACATGTTTGTCATTTCTACATACTTATCTTCTGAGCAATGTGAAGTTTGATCAGACATCATAAAATGTGTTTTTCCTCGATGTCAGGAAGGGAATTTATGTTGATTACATCAATGCTGATTTATTGTTCATATTGTCCTTTTTAAAATAAGATTTAATATCTATCAGTGTATATATGGAGTGTGTTGAGATAGGTGTGTGTGTGTTTTTTCACTTTTTATAATCCTCTGATGCATCTCAGTGCTGCTGATCTCTTTGCCAGATCCTGTCTAATGACTGCATGGTATTTCTCAGGGTGGGTTTCCTGATGGCGACATCAGTGGACCATGACTGTGTAATGTGTGTTGACCCACATAGTTTAAAAATATTCTTCCCAAATATATGAACATATTTGAAATACTACAATTTTGACCATATTAAACACACACATATATATATATATATATATATATACACACACACACACACACACAATATATTGAAATGTGTTTTTTTATATATTACAAATATATTACAGTATATTTGAAAATGTATTTTTAAAAAAAATATATTTATGTCTTTAAAAATACATTTAATCTACATTTTTGGAATGCTTTTACAAATATATGATGACTTTTTTATATGTTAGAAAAAAATCTGAAGAATGTATTTAAAAAATATATATTTTTCATATATTTTGTAATATATAAAAAAAACGCATTTCAGCATACAGTATGTGTGTATATATGTGTATGCATATGTGGGGCAGAAAAAGTGCCCAGCCACGTTCCACAGCGTTCAGGATGATCTCCGATTTATGTGATCACCATGAGAGCCAATCACGCTGGAAATATGATTGGAAAGCTGCTTCGCCTCCTGGCATTAAAACCCACTTAAAGGTCCACTGTCAGCCGACAGGAAAGGGTTAGTAACATGGGAAATTACGTTTGAAGTTACATTTTACATGTTAATATTCATATGAGATTTTAAGCCTTCTTTACTATATTCAAAGAGAGAAAAATAAAATTTTGCCTGGAGTTCTACTTTTACGCTGATCCCTGTGCAGATATATAAAGATCAAAGGGAATCTCCAAGGTTCCCAATTCATGGAAACATGGACAGATGTTTTATTGCCTTTTCATCTCAGTTAGAGACCTTCCCATCCACAGCACATCTGAGGCGGCCACACACCATACAGCCTAGTTGTACAATCTGCATGCTGATGATGTCGCTGGGCTCAGAAAATAGTATTCGGCCAAGGGGCGGACTGACAACTCATGGGGCCCCTGGGCAATAGGGGACCATGGGGCCCTTGTGTCCTTTCCCACACTCAAACCACACCCAAAAAAGCCTATGAAAAAGGTACCAGAGGCATCTCATGGGGGCCCCCTTCTGATTCCGGGTCCTTGGGCAGTGCCCGAGTTCCCAAATGGTCAGTCCGCCCCTGATTCGGCCAGAAAAGCAATGCAACTGGTCCCTGGCTGGAGTCTCTCTATGTTACTATGACTCCCCGACTCTATATGATACTCCCTATGATTAAGCCCGTTAGGGTGAAACATGCCAGAAAGGGGTGGTCTCCATGAGGGAACAAGTTGCATTGCTTGTATGGTCGAATACCATTTTCTGAGCCCAGTGGCATCATTGGTGTGTGGCCTTTATTCTTCAGAAGTGCATTTCCATGGAGCACAGATGAGCTTCAAGATCAGCACTTGACCAGTTTACGGCATCAACGCTTGGAGCAGTGGTTCTTCTACAATTCACTGATTGTGCAATCTGCTGTACCAACAACTATCAACAACTTTGTAGTGGGCAGGGACAATCTGACCAAATCAAAATTAAATGGCTTTCTAGCTAGGTCCTTATTACATAACTTTTGATAAATCTAAAGAAGGTTGTACAGAGAGATTCTTCAACCAGGCTGTAATGTGTGTGGCCACTTTACATTAGTCTCATACAAAGACAGTATATGATTGATAGGCACACCAACAGAGACACACTGGATGCAAAAATGTTGATCAATCCATTCATGTTTAACTTTTTTTTTCCACAGGAAAAAATGGGACTCAGCATCGACAACCTAACGATGATGACAACAGTTCCTTTCTCCAATGTAAGCCAGCAGAATAACACCTTTCCAGAGATAAGGAACTGCTTAGTACCAGAGGGATTTGAATGGCTCTATACCTACCAGCCAACATACATGTGGTTAATCTTTGCCTTGGGCTTCGTGGAAAACGCGTTTGTCATCGCAGTCTTCCTGCTTCATAACAGCCGCTGCACTGTGGCGGAGATTTACCTGGGTAATATGGCCGCTGCGGATCTCATCTTTGTCAGTAGCCTTCCGTTCTGGGCCATTTATATTTCTAACAAGTTCAATTGGCCCTTCGGTAGCTTCCTCTGTGTCACTGTAAATTCTTTGATTCAGCTGAATCTCTATGGTAGCATCTACTTTCTGATGATGGTCAGCATTGATCGCTATCTGGCCCTGGTGAAGACCATGTCCTTTGGTAGGATGAGAAGAGCTGGTTGTGCCAAGATTAACTGTGCCATCATCTGGCTTTGCGCAGTGATAGCCAGTTTGCCCAAAGTCATATTCCGGAAGGTAATGTTTCTTCCTGGGTTTAATACCACCTCTTGCGTCATATTACCCCCACACGAGAGCTGGAACATTGCCTCAAATATTCTCATGAACCTTTTTGGCGGCTTCATCCCAGCAGTCGTTATTGGGTTCTGCACCTTCCAGATTATAAAAGTCCTGAGGAACAACACCATGAAGCAATTCAAAGAAATCAACAATGAGAAGAAGGCCACATGGTTGGTCTTCTCTGTACTCTTAGTCTTTGTGCTATGCTGGCTTCCGTTCCATGTCATTACCTTCTTCGATACATTGGAATTGTGCAGATTCATCCATTCCTGTAGCTGGGCCCAAGCCATTGAGATTGGAAACCAAATATCGACCTACATTGGCTTCAGCAATAGCTGTATCAACCCACTCCTCTATGTCATTGTTGGCAATCATTTCCGAAAAAAAGCCAAAGAAGTCTTCAGGCAGTTTCTAGCTAAATTCAGACCACCAAGAAGAGCATCCTTGCCAGTAAGCTACTCTGGAATCACAGTACGGACTTCGATCTCCATGGGGCAACAGAAACTTATTTTAAAGCAGTAAAACTTACTGGTGGGCTAAAACGTACTGAGTTTACACTCTGCTGTGGAAAACATGGTTTCTGAATAAGCTTACATTATTTATTTTGTGTCATTTTGTTTTTGGTTTTTTTTGCATGGCGTTATCTTTATCTTTTGTATATACTGTAGAGATGAGTTGTTCCTGATGTTTTTCACACTGTCTACTTCCACCAGATGTTTTACTGCCATACTTGGAAAGATAAAGAAAACTCTTCACTGGTGGAAAAATGCAGTTTGAAGATTTGCAGGAGTGGGACTGCAGTATAAACACATTTAAAGAAATAATTCTAGCTTCTGGGATTTCTCACATCTGTTGTTGTAATTTAATGGCAAATAGTGCTCATGCGCGTATGGATATGTGTCCAATATATTAATTAATATATCTGCTACAAATCAAACAAAACTAAAATAATTGCAGAAGTCTTGAGGGTGTACAACCAAAAATAAAATAATTAAAAAAAAAATATATATATATATATATATATACACACACACACACACACACACACACACACTGGGGCAAAAAAGTATTTAGTCAGCCACCAATTGTGCAAGTTCTCCCACTTAAAAAGATGAGAGAGGCCTGTAATTGGCATCATAGGTAGACCTCAACTATAAGAGACAATATGAGAAAAAAAATCCAGACAATCACATTGGCTGATTTGGAAAGAATTTATTTGCAAATTATGGTGGAAAATAAGTATTTGGTCACCTACAAACAAGCAAGATTTCTGGCTCTCACAGACCTGTACCTTCTTCTTTAGGAGGCTCCTCTGTCCTGCACTCATTACCTGTATCAATGGCACCTGTTTGAACTTGTTATCAGTATAAAAGACACCTGTCCACAACCTCAAACAGTCACACTCCAAACTCCACTATGGTGAAGACCAAAGAGCTGTCGAAGGACACCAGAAACAAAATTGTAGACCTGCACCAGGCTGGGAAGACTGAATCTGCAATAGGCAAGCAGCTTGGTGTGAACAAATCAACAGTGGGAGCAATAATTAGAAAATGGAAGACATACAAGACCACTGATAATCTCCCCCGATCTGGGACTCCACGCAAGATCTCACCCCGTGGGGTCAAAATGATCACAAGAACGGTGAGCAAAAATCCCAGGAGCACACGGGGGGACCTAGTGAATGACCTGCAGAGAGCTGGGACCAACGTAACAAAGGCTACCATCAGTAACACACTACGCCACCAGGGACTCAGATCCTGCAGTGCCAGACGTGTCCCCCTGCTTAAGCCAGTACATGTCCGGGCCCATCTGAAGTTTGCTAGAGAGCATTTGGATGATCCAGAAGAGGATCGGGAGAATGGTCTGATGAAACCAAAATAGAACTGTTTGGTAGAAACACAACTCGTCGTGTTTGGAGGAGAGAGAATGCTGAGTTGCATCCAAAGAACACCATACCTACTGTGAAGCATGGGGGTGGCAACATCATGATTTGGGGCTGTTTCTCCGCAAAGGGACCAGGACGACTGATCCATGTACAGGACAGAATGAATGGGGCCTTGTATCGTGAGATTTTGAGTGCAAACCTCCTTCCAACAGCAAGGGCATTACAGATGAAGCGTGGCTGGGTCTTCCAACATGACAATGATCCCAAACATACCGCCCGGGCAACGAAGGAGTGGCTTCGTAAGAAGCATTTCAAGGTCCTGGAGTGGCCTAGGCAGTCTCCAGATCTCAACCCCATAGAAAACCTTTGGAGGGAGTTGAAAGTCCGTGTTGCCCAGCGACAGCCCCAAAACATCACTGCTCTAGAGGAGATCTGCATGGAGGATGGGCCAACATACCAGCAACAGTGTGTGCCAACCTTGTGAAGACTTACAGGAAACGTTTGACCTCTGTCATTGCCAACAAAGGATATATAACAAAGTATTGAGATGAACTTTTCATATTGACCAAATACTTATTTTCCACCATAATTTGCAAATAAATTATTTCCAAATCGGCCAATGTGATTGTCTGGATTTGTTTTCTCATTTTGTCTCTCATAGTTGAGGTCTACCTATGATGCCAATTACAGGCCTCTCTCATCTTTTTAAGTGGGAGAACTTGCACAATTGGTGGCGGAATAAATACTTTTTTGCCCCACTGTGTGTATATATATATATACACATACATATACACACACACACACATACATATTACATATGTGCATAACCTCTATACAATCTCAAAAATTCACAACATGTTTTGCGATTGGTTATAATCCCACATCTGCAAATCAAACATTGTATATGTGCATAATCCCTACACTATCACAAATTTCAAAACATGATTTGCCATTAAAGTCCCAAAGTGCAAAATAGGTGCCAGTGCTTGTGTTCCTCCTTGAGTACAGTGCTTCACTTATTCAACTTACTCATAGCGCTCCATACATCAGTGCTCAGAGTGCCCCACATGGACTAAAACTCACCCTCTGTAGATGACCATCTATTTCTAGAGTGGTCTACGGTACTTGTAGGGCATTTCCCAATGAAGTTGATTAATGTCTCCAGGTCCTGCAGTCTCGGAGTAGATGTATCCTCCAGGGATCACTGAACCCTGCACTGTACATTGGGACCGCCACAGAGACCAAACCCTGCACTGTACTCCAAGACTCGCACCGGACCCTGCACTGTACATGGAGGACAGAGGCTCTGTGTGTGATCCCCAGAGGAATATATGTCCCGCCAAAACTTTTCTAGTTTTGGATCAAATGGGGAGGGATTAAAACTCATACTGTGATCATTGGAGATATTTCCCTCTCTCTTACTATAAACAGCATAGATGCAAACTGTTCTTGGATTTGCTGGAACAGTCCTGCATCTAAATGATCTGTCCCGATGATGCTGTGCCCTGAAATCACATCATCACCCTTAATTGAGTTACCGAGCATGGTCAATATCTCGAAAGGACTGGGGTGAATATGTTGGCAAGTACACTACTGTGCCAAGGTTTTAGGCTGTTGTGAAAAAATGCTGTAAATGAAGAATGCTTTAAAAAATAGAAGAAGTATTAAAATGTTACTAAACCCCAGACCCTGCATTCACTATATCCGGTCTCCCCGGACCCTGCATTCACTATATCCGGTCTCCCCGGACCCTGCATTCACTATATCCGGTCTCCCCGGACCCTGCATTCACTATATCCGGTCTCCCCGGACCCTGCATTCACTATATTCGGTCTCCCAGGACCCTGCATTCACTATATCTGGTCTCCCCGGACCCTGCATTCACTATATTCGGTCTCCCAGGACCCTGCATTCACTATATCTGGTCTCCCCGGATCCTGCAATCACTATATCTGCCCTCCCACAGTATGCAGAACATGGAAAAGCAATTATGTTAGTAAATATAAACTGCTAAATACATTTTCTCCTCAGCAGTTTGAGCAGTCTTGTGACTTTAGCCGAGCACTGGTTAAAGTTTTCAGAAGTTTTGTTTCTACTCTAGGAGGATGCATAACCCCTGACCCTCTCTCTGGCCCTGTGCTGACTGGCCCTGTGCTGATCACATGCACTCTCCCAAGAAAAAGAAAAACACTTTCTAGTTATACACACTAAGCTGAGCATGTGTATGTGGCTACAGGTTCAGTCTGTCTTATCAGGTGGACATTTTACATTTGAAAAAGAGAAGGAACAGAGAAGTCAGGATCAAATGGCCTTTTTACACAATGCAAAGGATTTACCCTTTAGGTTCCGCAGTGAGTATAGCAAGCACGCTTTACTGCATATACAGACTAAGTTTACTGTTGTGGGTTTAGTAACACTTTAATAGTTTATTTCCTAAATTAACAAAATGAAAAGTAAATGAACAGAAGAGAAATCTAAATAAAATCAATATTTGGTGTAACCACCCTTTGGCTTTAAACCAGCATCAATTCTCCTAGGTACACTTGCACACAGTTCTTGAAGGAACTCGGCAGGTAGGTTGTTCCAAACATCCTGGAGAACTAAGCACAGTTCTTCTGTGGATGTAGGCTGACTCATATTATTCTGTCCCTTCATGTAATCCCAGACAGACTCCATGAAGTTGAGATCAGGGCTCTGCTTTATGCTGAAGGTAGTTCTTAATGTCACTGGCTATATGTTTGGGGTCATTGTCCTGCTGCAAAATAAATTTGGGGCCAATCACACACCACTCTGATAGAATGGCATGATGGATAGGTATCTGCCTGTGTTTCTCAGCATTGAGGACACCATTGATCCTGACCAAATCTCCAACTCCATTTGCAGAAATGCAGCCCCAAACTTGCAAGGAACCTTCACCATGCTTCACTGTTGCCTGCCGACGCTCATTATTGTCCCGCTCTCCAGCCCTTCTGCAAATGACCTGCCTCCTACTTCAGCCAAAATACTTCAAATTTTGACTCATTAGGCCAGAACACCTGCTGCTATTTTTCTGCATCCCAGTTCCTATGTTTTAGTTCATAGCTCAGTCATCTAGCCTTGTTGCCACATTGGAGGTATGTCTTTTTGTCCACAATTCTTCCATGAAGGCCACTTCTTGCCAGACTTCTCCAGACAGTAGATGGGTGTACCTGGATCCCATTGGTTTGCGCCAGTCCTGTGCTGATGACACTGCTGGACATCTTTCAATGTCAAAGGGAAGTAAGCATGATGTGTCTTTCATCTGCTGCATTAGGTTTCCTTGGCCAACCACTGTGTCTACGGTCCTCAAAGTTGTCCGTATCTTTGTGGTTCTTCAAAAGAGCTTGAACAGCACATCTTGAAACCCCAGCCTGCTTTGAAATCTTTGCCTGGGAGAGACCTTGCTAATGCAGTATAACTACCTTGTGTCTTGTTGCTGTGTTCACTCTTGAAATGGTGTATGACCTGTGACATGAAACAGTCTTCCACAACTTCTCCTTATTAGCAGAGTTTGACTGTTCCTCATTCAGTTTTATGCCTCCCGCACAGCTGTTTCTGTTTCAGTTAGTGACTGTTTCAACCTACATATGACATTGATGATCATTAGCACCGGCTTGGT